ACGTCGTTCAAGGTGATGCGTGAGTCGGAGGGTAAGGCTGCTGAGTACAACTTTGAGGTGCCGACGCACGGGTCGTTACCCAATGCGAACGGCAAGAACGGCCTCAGCAAAGAAGAGAAAGCCTTCGTCACTCGGACGCACTTCAAAAAGAAATTTCCATAGAAGCTCGAGGAAAAGGCTGAGACGTGCATGAGGGAGAAGGGGTGGGGGTTAATTTGGACACCGCCGTACATGCCGACTTTCCAGCCGATCGAGCTGTTCTGGCAGCACGGCAAGCAATACGTGAGCATTCATTTTGAGAAGGGGCGGAACATGTTGGATGTCTGGAAGCAAACCCGTCTCGGTTGGTATGGCGACCCGGAATGGGACGGTCAGGAGGGGGGATGGAAGGCAGTCAATTGTGGAAAATTGGTGGAACATGCCATTGGCAAGATGAACGAGTGGATCGGCCTGTATGGTGGGAACCTGAGCGGTACGATCGGTAGCCTCGAGTATCCAGGAGCAGAGTACCGAGAGGCTACGGCCGAGGATGAGATAGAGGATGGGGTGGAGGAGCAGACGGATGAGTGGATGCCATTGAGGTCTGAAAAAAAATGAAAAAAAAATAATGGCCTTTTTTGGGCCAATATTTTTCGACTTTGATTCAAGAACAGCGACACGAAGGGGGCTGTACAGAAGGTTCCACCCTGAGTGCAAGCTGACATATTGTTTGATATTTCGCAATTGAGATGGCTGTATCACCCTGTTCAAACAATACATGGATCACTGGTGCAAGCCCTGGGGCCGCATCGTTTGAACCCCGCGCTTCAATATTTTTGGAAGATCGCCGGTTACGATTACACACTAATTTCTTAATATTACTCCATGACATGGTGCATTTTTTTTTTTTTCCGTAGAATGACAGCTCTGTGCTTTGTCGTCAATTTGCGCTGTAGTTTGGGATGGGGGACTCCGTATTGACCAAGTTACACTATATTCCAATTTGATCTTGACTAATATATTCCACCGTAAGGTTGTGTATGTAGTTGGAGGGGGTACCTCAAGAAAGTGTAGAAAAACAAGAGCTAGCTCCGTCCGTGTATGTATCTATCTGTCGTCAAGACCACATCACAGTCAGTCCTCCTACAGAGTGGTAGTAGTAGAAGGCCCCCCTACTGCCAGTCTCCTTTGTGGCCCTTTCCAACCAATCGATCAATGAACATTAATGAATGGTTTGTTCTTTTTTCCGATTAGACTTCAACCTGGGGCAGACAAGAAGCTAACAAAATTAATTGTTGAAAGCCAATTTCACCACGATAGTTTTGACGAGTTGGTACCTGAAATTTCGACACACACGTGGTTCGTGTAAGTACAACAAATACAACTGCTAGCCGTACTTCAGTTATTTTTCATGAGGTAGCCCTATCTATGAAAGTGAAAATTGGAATCCTATTGTTGTGTATAGGAAGACCAACAAAAAAGAAAAACTGAAAAGTACTACTGCTATTTTTTAGCAGTTGTATTGGTTTTAACAATACGAACTACATGTATGTCAAAATTTCAGATTCCAACTCGTAAAAATCGTGATTTATTTTCCGATAACCTCGCATGCCCGTAACTATCGTATGCTTTGTATCGGATCTTTTCGAGGCCATAACTCTTGATGGAAGATGATGTGAGCCTTGCAACTACCATCATTTTCCTCGCAATCTCGCAATTTTCCCAGGTAAGCGCACACCAAATTTCAGCTTATTCTGTGAAACTTTTTCAATGCTGATTTCAGTACCGAAAGTATCCCCCCCACCACGCCGCCAATTGATCGTTCAACACCTACATCAACTCGGATTCGAAAGTTCCGGCATCTATCTGCGTTTTTCCTATTGTCTCACTAGAGTAACCACCAAATTTCAAGCCTAAATTCGTGGAAACGACAGCGTGAGACGCGAAAGTACGAACGCATATAGGATACCATCAGGATTGTCATTGGTTTTATTTCAAGTTGAAGAGGAGATATTTTTACGATGTAAATGACAGTAGAAATAAGTCCTACATATGTTTGTGTACTTCGTATTGGTTTAATATTCATGTAGAGTATGAGTGAAAGTTTTCTGAGGTACATCTGCAATTGTCGGAAGGCAAAAAAAAAAAAACGAAAGTGAGCTTCTTGGCTGGCCCAGCTTGTTGTATATTTATATATTCGAGAGAGAATTGGTGTTGTTGTTGTGTTCACATAAAAAACCGTTCCGATCTCTCTCTACCGAGTACCTTCGTATCTCCGCACTGATCCAACACTCGACGCGGTCGATTCCCGTGGTCGCAGGCTAACTTACCCTAAAAAGGTACACTCGAATGAACTGCCCCCGAGGGGTCCGCAAGTCAATAGAAATCAACGACGGATATTCTGGAGTCCTCCACTCCCTCTGCGCGCTATGCGAGGTAACAACTGAGACTAGGAGTCACCATCACGGGCCGGAGAGAACGAGAATGCGAACGCACAGATTTCTGGACATGATTGACGTAAGACATCATGACCGTTTCGCCCTGCTGTCGACCCTCTGCGAACCTCCGAAAATGTACCAGTCACGATTGCTGCGTGCGTGAGGTTGTCACTGACCTTGCATGAGAGCGCGGTAGGCACGGTCTAGCTGCGTTGTTACGTCGTTGACATTATTTAGCTACCTACTAGTCTACACCGACCGATCGTTCCTCTCATCATCTAATCTACCTGTGGTTCCCTTTTTTTCCAGCCAGAGTAACGGATACATGCATACACACGCAGCGACCGCGCTAACCGGCTGACCAATGAAATGATAATGATGCTTATAATAAAAGCACACGCAGCGAGCGGTGTCACATCACACTCGGAACGTCTATTTCATTTTTAAATGATGTGAAGAAAACATCAAATAAATAGACGACCACCACGACCACCACGACCACGACCACGACCACGACCACCACGACCACGACCACGACCACGACCACGACGACAATCAAATGATAATCCGTCCGTGTGCCCTGCTCGGGCGCCACACAAAGACGCACGACACATACGCGGCGGGAGAGGATATTTCACGTTGAGTTGTTATTGCTGTGCTGCTGCGCGGCTCGCATACTCTTTTTATGTACATGCTGATGAATGTGCATGCCCACTCTCCAAACCGCTACTATTATTTTTTTACATAATTTCATTTATTTATTACTTATTTATTTTTGCCTTCCGACAATTGCAGATGTACCTCAGAAAACTTTCACTTAATGTCTCATACTCTACATGAATATTAAACCAATACGAAGAACAACAACATATGTAGGACTTATTTCTACTGTCATTTACATCGTAGAAGTATCTCCTCTTCAACTTACCAATGACAATCCTGATGGTATCCTATATGCGTTCGTAAGCTTAAAATACTACTACTGCGTTGATGTCCGCTTGTGAAAATTATATTGTTGCCACACAACGGAAAGCATGGGGAAGTACATACCGTTCGCTTTCTTTTCTGAAACCGGGACCACGTGATCGAATAATATTTACTAGACTATGTAAATGTCGGCAAGTACATCATTTGGCGACTGGTTTAGACTAGTTTATGCACCAACGACTGTTTCTCACATGGTGCTCTAAACTGGCGGAAATCGTTAAAGGTGATGTCGGCAAGTATTATTTGGCGACTGGTTATGCACCAACGACTTATTCTCACACGGTGCTTTGAACGGGGGGAACTCGTGAACGCGAGTGTATGAATGTGGTCTCTCTGGCGGGCGGGTGCGATCGCACATTTTCTGATCACTCATTTTACGGCTTCGAATGACATCGCGCTGAACCCCAACGCACATGCATTTGTATCATCACGGTCCGTATTACAGTATCATGGACTACCATGTTCCTCCGCTGGTCTTCTGTCGCACCCCCGGTACAGAGTCATGCCAGGGAACTCATTCGCCGTGGTTTCCGAACCACCCATCCGAGTAAACAGGGGTGGGTGCGCAAGTGCGCAAAGAAAACGAAAGGGCGGCGTGATTTCACTCGAGTTCAGCGCCCATAGATCTCGATCTATCGATCTGTGAAATCACGTAGGCTTGGTTGCGATGCCAACATCGGCAACGGCATATGGAGTCTAGAACATCCTGCAAGAAACTGGATCCGCACCACTTCGTGAGGTAACGGGTATTTAACAGAACGGCTACCAGGTACTACGTAGACTACTTTTCTTTCGGTATGAAAATGAAGCTACTTTTGCACGATTTGATATATGTGAGGTCTAAACACCGCTCAGCGGTGGGCCTACCCAACTCTACTTTGCAGTTGCATTGGAACCTGTGATAAGAAACTGATCCTCGACCCGATATTGACGTTTCTTTTCTCCTTGCTCTTTCTGTATATAGCACCGTGGCAGCAGTGACGCCGATCGCTTTCGTTCATCTCGGCATCGCACCAACCGATGGCAGCTGGTCTTCGCGAATAGGGGTGCCTTCGAAGAAAGAATATCATTCCGCACCATCACTCGGATTAGAGTTAGTTGTGTTTTTCACACCAATCGGTGTTGTGGCATTGGGGTGCGATAATTACCACAGAGTAAATTGATACCACAAAGGAGAGTTCACTCGTACATGTCATTAAAGTAGTCTCGTCCTCATTTCCCTGCGATGCCGACCCATGCACGGCAACCAGGGAGAGGAACACCGGCAAGAATTATCTTCGACGAGGAGCAGATCATGACCAATTCGTCGTGCCTATCGGAAACCAGTACCGTGTGCGACTAGTTCAATACCTTCGTCTTACCGTTGTCTCACAAACAAATCCTAAATATTGTGCAATTTAGTGAGAACGTGGGATGATGCGCAGGGTGAGGGGGGCGACCCCCGGGGTGAGGGTTCTTAGCACCCCACCTTATCCAACTTCCTATTATGCTAGTTTGTCTCCATGCACCGATCCCAACATCCACACATGCTCGATCCGGTGTGGACTCCTCAAAGCTTGGCAATCCCCCCCCAGTACTGCTATCCACCGGATATCTTGTAAGAAATCACAAAAATCCCACTTCTCTGCCTCTTTCCATCTGTGACATATGATCCTCGACCGCCTGACCGGATATCCCGCGAGCTCTGCTCCAATTCTTGCTCCAGCCCATATCTCTCCCCGTTCCTTAACACCAAAACAACAATACATCTCACGTCATGAGGCAAAACTCTCAACTTCCGACACAAACAATAGGTACTGGGCTACACCAGCAGCGTGTCCGCCACTGAAACCGTGTACCTTTCACAAATGAGTGGACGGGTTGTCAACAACTGCTGTACCGTAGTACAAGACCGGGCAGAAAATACTGCCGTCCCAGCTCCCCCGTCTCTTATCACACGGTGCTCGCTCCAAACCAACACAGCTCGCTACAAAACCAACACATGCCCGAAAGACAGACACAAACAAAGCTATCGGAATCGACGGTAGGTTGCAGGCGTGTACGCGGGCACTCCCATAAAAAACGTGCACATACTGAATACGCCCGCGGGACCAGGCGAGAACTGAGCAGATCGCACGAAACGTGCAATGCATCACAACTTCCTTGATTGAGAAGCACACCCTGCCGTGAGCGTGCCATATGCACCTCCCCACCACAGCACCAACGCCAACAGATGACGCCAACAGACACACACATGCTCTACTGCTGCCACCACCAAAACAAAAACGTGTCAAAGCAGCGTAGCTACATATCACCAGGAGGCGCTCTCTTCCCTGAGCCGTTACCCCCACGAACAGAAAAACGCCTTCCCGCCCTCAAAACCTCGACAAGCAACTGCAAGAATCGAAAAAACAAGGGTTGAAGGCTGCCCTGTGATTCACACCGAACAAGCACACGAGTGGCCTACGGTTCCATCACCAGCAAAACAGGAGACCTCGGGGAAATAAGGGTCAATCAATGAGAAGGCAACCGAAACACGGACCGCCATCGACGACCAAAACAACATTTTCATTTGAAAGGTGGGGCGGGCGTCCTCGGGAGAGGCGCCGCTAACCCACTGCCGCGTTCGCAAAACGCCTCCGTCTCGAAACACACGAAACAAACGCCGACGTTTCACAGTGCGACCCTTGCTCCAGCTGGGTGGCCTATGCCTCCAAGCAAATCACGAACCGCCTCCGACAAGACGCTCACACGAGCACCGGGTTGCTGCTCGAGAAGGTCCGATCTAGGGCTGAGGTGCCGCCTCCAGCGGTGGTGGAGGAGGCCGCGGCGAGCGTGCTCGAGTGCTCCGATCGCCCGTCGTAGGACCCGCAGCGCTGCGCTCCCGCTCTCGGCGAGGCGTCCGCCAGCCTGGCGGCGTTGATGCCCCCGTCCGCGTCCTCGGGGGCGAGCTCGAACATACCCGAGTCTTCCAGCTCGCGGACCCTGCGGGAGGTGTGGCGTAGTGGTGATGTGCGTGGTGCGGCGTGGCGACGTGCGGTGAGATATGGCGTGGCGAAGGTGAATAATGATCGTCGAGCTTCGGGTGGGGTACTCGTGTTTTGCGTGCTATAGTGGACAGACCATTGCCCACTTCAACAGCTTGAGGGGGGGCGGGGGGGCGGGGGGTACCCGTGTTTTGCGTGCCTTGGCGGCTAGTCCATTGACCACTTCTACAGGTCGGGAGGCTATGCCCATCGTGCAGCGTGGCGAGAGCATGCGGAGAGATAGATACACCCTCGGAGTCCTGCGGTAAAACGTCTCACGCTCGCGCGGCGGCGTGGTGGTGAAAACGACAGCGCCGGGCCAAAAAGACTGTCACGGATATACGGCAAACAGCCACAGACCACAAGCGACGACTAAAACCGACTTGTGTCTGTCCATCTGTCCATTTGAAGAACATGAACAAGAACATGCTTCGAAGTACGTACGTAGAGACACGACGGAAGAACTTCTCGCCGTGGTGGGGTTTCAAGACTGCAAGTCGCTGGAGGGGGGGGTTGATTACCTGAGATAGTCGGCCATCAACTGCTCCTTGTCCTCGTTGACGAGCTGAACTGCCCCCGGCCTAGTGAAGCAGTCCACCGTCTTCCTCAGGTAGGATCCCGGCTGTGCAGTCATTTCCAAAGTCCTGCAACGATTGGAGGCGCCATCGGGAAGACGACGATAAGGTGGGAGAGAGGAGAGGGACGGCGGTGGTCATTTTCGGGTACAGGAGGGAAACAAGACGAACACGACCCGCATGCACGCCGAGAAAGCTCATGACAACACGTGCTAACGTTGACCGTAATCCCTCGATGTGGGACGGAACACCGAGACGCGCACCGGAAAGAAGCAAGGCCACGGATGATGTCCACCCCGGGGACGCGGGCGATCCTCCCCTCCTGCTTCGAGACGAGGAAGACCTCCTTCCCGGTCTTGACCATGTCTTTGGGCTCCAGGGGAATCTGCTCGAAAACGTCCGGCTTGATGTACGAGTCCAGCGTGGCGTCGATCTAGGGAAAACCGAGGCAACACCAACACAGCAGCGAAAGCAGCGGCAGCAGCAGCAACAACACAAAACCCAGAGCGTTAGGAAAGCGGAGACCGTTGTGCGAGACACGTTTGCAAACGCGCGAGCAAGGTGTTCGGAAACGCACGAGATGGACAGATACCACACGAAGGTGGTTGGCTGTTGTTTCGTAGATTTCGTAGGTACCAATGTGTACCCTCCGAGAATAGGTCGGTCTGGCGCCGTGGCTCCCAGGAGTGGCGCTCACGGACACGTTTAGTCCGGCAGAGCGCAGCAGAATCGACCGCGCCATGATATCTCCCCTCCAAAAAGAAACTTCTACGCTACGTATGGCTGACAAGTCCATGGGCATACAGCCGCCCCGCTCCGACAGGGTTCATCAACGTTAATCGTGTGCTTGTTTATTAGTGATTTTTTCGCCGAACATGTGCTTCTTACTCCTTCAGGGTACCTGTTACGTAGAACACTTGGTTAAAAAAACGGTGGTCGAAGGAATGTCAGAAGCGTCCCGGCACCCGTCACGGAGTCGCGCTTTTTCTCGTGAAACCGTTGCCTGCTACAGTCTGCTGTTCTTGTACGTTGGGCACAAACACACTCTGCCTGCCCGCCTATACACCCACCACTCCCTCTTTCATGATCGCAGAGCAAAGCAACGAAGTTATAACATGCTGGCAACGGAACCTCCAAGGTGCGGCACAAAGAGAGCGGTCCGGATAGTCCTAGAATGTATACGTCAAAAAAACATTGGGGAAAGACAGAAGAAGCCACTAAGAATTCTGCGTCACGCGTTTGTGAAAGGGTTGCAAATAAAACTGCCGACAGAAAGGATTGAAGTACCTGGTTGTAGCCGAGACATTCCTGCGCAATGGGCTGCCAAGTTCCCTCCCCTCCGTGGCATCGACTCCCCACCTCCACCAAGCAGGGGCCCGTCGATGTGTATTTTACCTAGGATCGAGCAAGCAGAGCAAAACGGTGCAAATTGTAGTCAAACATAATCAAGGGAGGCCCCATGGCTACAACCCGGTGTGCTCCCTTTTACAAAAAGATAAAACATTAACCCTTGCAGCAGCGGCCGCAGCAGCGGCTAAGGCAACTAGCGATACGACGGGGAACATGCACGAGGACCCCTCCTACACCATTATCACCATCCACCCCCGCAACAACAACAACAACAACAACAACAACAACAACAACAACAACAACAACAACAACAACAACAACAACAACAACAACAACAACAACGACAACAGGCAGGGACAAGATCAACCAAGCTCACCTCCATGTGGCCAGGGCCGTTCTCAATGCCCATGGCATCCAGCACCAGCCTTGCGTACTCTGCCACTTCGCGCTCAACCTGTTCGCCGGGTAACAGCAGCAACACTCAAAGTCGGTGTGCTATCCCAACATGAACCAAAAGGTTGAGAGCATTGGCCGAGAGTACCTCTCAACACCACGGGAGCGTGAGCATGTCAACCAACGTTATGATGTAACTTTAAAAAAAACCCGTCAGTTGTGACGTTAACCCGTGTTCGATCTGATTGGCTCTGAGGGGTGGGGCTCCAACTGGCAGCGGCGGAAGCGGCGGCAGAATAGGAATCAAACCTGCCGCAGACATTTCGTGAAATATCATGTACCGAACACACAGAGATGAGCGGATGGCGACGTTTGACTACCATGCCAAGGGATGACGTGAATGTCGCTTCTATCACACGAGATCGCGCAGCGGGAAGACTCAATGACCTTCCCTTCGCGTGATGATCCACCTGCCACACGAAGCCGCAAAACACCATCAACGAGGGTGGGCGTCTCTCTCTCAGTCCACTGCTTCGGAACGAAAACGAGGGGATAAAAAAGCCGACATCAAACTATTACAATAGTCAGCGCTGACTAGTCTAGATGATGGTTTGCTCTATACTACATCATGGTTTGCTATTGGCCTCATTAAAAATTAGTCGTGGGCTTGAGACCTGCAGTCTAGTGGGTTTATGAAGACACACACCTTGGCGGTGGCCGGCTTGAGCTCCATGCCGAAGTAGACGAAGTTCGCCCCGTTAACCGAGCGCTTGTCGTACTCCCAGATGGCGCAGATGCGGTGGACGCCGTCCCTGCTGACGCTGTCCACCACGTACTCCGTGCCGTCCAGGTACTCCATGACCAACGCCCCCTCGTTCACTCCTCCCAGACCGTTCACCTGTTTACGGCCAGCAAGGGTGACGAAATGCCATCGATGGCGTCACAGACGGAGAACAGGTGACTTTAGTAGAAACCAAAACAAAAATCCAACGTCATACACCCCAAGGTTAGGTGTGTTACTGGTTTGTCGGGTATTTCTTGCTTCATGTCAGTTTCTCCCGTTGATGCTGTGCACATGCGAACCCTTTCAGCGCAAACGCCAAGAAATCAAACGACATCCACTTGAACAAATCCCCCGCAGGCTGGCGTCCTGTCGTAAGGGCTGCTACGTTACGCTACAGAGTAACACGGGTTCTCCCTCCCCCCCAAAAGAGCCAAACCAACCACCCATCTCATACGCCAACAAACCCAGTCGAACCTTGTTTTCCGGGTTTGGCCTACAAACACGAAAAATAAAAAAACGCCACAACAAAAACAAACTACAAAACTCCCTCCCTCCGGATCATCAACGTCAAATTCTTTCCCTGACCGCGCACCTTTCCGTCGATAATCTCGAAACAACGGACCGCCTCTTCGCGGGTTTCCACCAGGAACACGTCGTCCGACCCCGCACTATCGAGCGGCTTCACCACGGCCTTCCACGGGGACGGCGGGTTCCAGTCGTCCAGGAAGGCGGTTACCTGGTCCACGGTTCTGGCCAAGCATTGCCTCGCGGCCCGGACGCCGTGGCTCCTCACCTGTGCGGAGGCGACAAGAAAACACAAAAAGAGGGCAAAAACGTTTTTGTAGTAGCAGTAGCGGTATCAGTAGCAGTAGTAGCAGCAGCAGCAGCAGCAGCAGCATCAGCAGCAACAGGACGAAGCGGTTGGTGTCATGCCGTGCTGCAGGACAGGGCAAACAACATGAACAGGACAACACGGGGGGTAACGGTTACAGACACGATAGGTATCAAAAGGCATGTAGTCGAGCCAGGGAGAGCTTGGGGTTACAACCACCTACACTCGTTTTCGGAGGCTCTCTCTCTCTCTNCTCTCTCTCTCTCTCTCTCTCTCTCTCTCTCTCTCTCTCTCTCTCTCTCTCTCTCTCTCGTTCCCACTCTTTCCCTCTCTCCCCTTCCCTCTCTCTTGCTTGCTCTTGCCTGCTCCCCCATGAGGTACTTGTTCCTCCGGGCCTCTGTGAACTCCTCCCCGTTGTTCCGGGTCCCAATTCGTGCGGCGAGCTTGTCCGATAGGTCGACCCCTGTTTCCGCCCCCGGGAGGATGGCGACAACGGGGTGCGGCAGCTCCGCGATGGACTTCACGGGGTGGGTAGAAACGACCATACCCAGGGGGGCGGGGGGGCGGGGCGTACTCTTATGTTTTGCATGTCTTAGCGGTTAGACCATTGACCACGCGTCCTCGAGAGGACGAAGCATTTTTCCCACAGGACCGATCACCGATGGCCAATCGTTCCTTTCTACTTTGCCAAAGGTGGCTCAAAAATGTCTTCCCTAGTCTGTCTATCCTAACGATACCCCTTCCCGCCTTTTCAACCCACCTCCTATGCCCCAGTACAGCTACCGTCCTTTCCTCTCTATTCCATGCCCCAAACATTTACCTGTACGTTCCATCTATTTTTCCCAGCTCAGTCACGTACACTTCCCTCTCCTTCTTGTACAACGGACATTCCGCGACTACATGAACACGGTCTTCGCATTCGAAGCCGCAATCACATTTGAACTCGTCGTCTTCCTCGTCTACCGTCCTATGTCTTCGTCGACGTTCTCGAAGGCCTATGTCCCCGGTCCTGAATTTGACCTTAAGCTTTGTTCCTGCATCCATTGGTCCATGTAGGTAGTCCTTGAACCCTATTCCTTCCTTCAACATTCCGTACACTTCTAGACCCTCCTTATCCTTGAATTATTTTCTTAGCTTCTGTTCTCTCTCGGCACAAGCAACAGACATCTTCTCTNGTAGGTAGTCCTTGAACCCTATTCCTTCCTTCAACATTCCGTACACTTCTAGACCCTCCTTATCCTTGGATTCTTTCCTCAGATTCTGTTCTTCTCTCTCGGCACAAGCAACAGATATCTTCTCCTTGAACCCCTGTAGACCCTCCGTTTCCAGCGTTTCATCTTCGTCGATGTCGAGCCCCTTCCATACGTCCTCTACAACCTTGACCCATTCCGTGGGTTGTCTACCCCTCTTTTTGTTTGCCCACTTCGCCTCCCATACAATCCTCGGCAACTTCTCCTCTCCCATCCCGCACATGCGGTACTGT